TCTTTCTGCCTTTGAATGGTGCCACTGCTTTGCTTCCATCTGTTATGGGCATTTTTTCATTTTTCAAGAGAGAAGATAAAAGAATGGATGACAGAGAAAGTGGAAAGGGAGAAAGGAGAAAGCAACTCTGTAAAAACAGAACAAAAGCAATACAAAAATTCAGAAATCAGATTGTGTATGACAATATTTTAAAACAATAGAAAGTAGCCGAATATACTACATGCAACACAGAGGATATGATGCATAACCTCAGGGGGAGGAGTCAGCAGGGAGAGTGTGGCAGAGCCCACAGGTTTAGACTAAGAGCCTTCCAAAGGACTGCTGAATGGACTGGATCTGCTGCTTCAGCTGCGAGCCTTTTTTGATGGTAACTGATAACAGTCCTGGAGACCCCGCAGGCACATCCCAAGGCCTGCTTGGAGCACATAAATACATAAGGAACATTCTTATCTTACACAGCAGTAGAAGATGTAGAATGATCTTCAGCAGCCCAGTGTCTGCAGCCATCGCAATGAACTCAGAGATACCCTTGTTGAGGATTTTGGTGACTTTCTTGGCTCTTTTCTAAAGCTGCTTGTAGTTACATGACTGCTGAATAAGGTCCAATAGTTCCTTGGTGAGGTGGGCATCCACAAAGGGCTAGGCCTTCTGATTTACACCAGCCTCAGTAGTGGCTACAGTTCCCGTAGGTTTGCCACTCCTCAGGGATCACAACCGATGTCAGATCAGGAACACTTGCCTTCACCACATTTAGTTTTTCTAATGAACTTTGGACTTTGCTATATATATTATTTTATAACATACTTCTTTTACTTAAACACTAACATAACAAGATGGTTTTCTTTCTTTCCTATTACACACAATGCTACTATAATCATCTTTGTGTGTAAATCATTGTACATAGCTCTAATCACTCCCACAGAATAAATTTCTGAATTGTATTTGCCATGCAGATAAATTCTTGAAAGTGCAATTGCTGAACAAAAAGTGGTTGAATTATTCTTAAGTATATGTAGGCATCTATATTACCTATAAGAAAAGACATATCTATACTGATTTTTAGGCTCTATCAGGCTCATCTCCTAAAGTTAGCAGTACAGGCCTGCCCTTCGGTTTTGCATTCCTTTGCCATCAGTTTGGGGCATCTCCCTCTTCTTAAGGAAGAATACCAACCTAACATCCCTGAGAAGGAAGACTAAGTTTACTTTTTACTTAGCATACATTTCTATGACTTATTCTGTGTGAGGCACTGTTATAAGCATGTTGCCTATACTATCTCATTTCATCCTCACAGCAGCAACCAAAGGAATCAAATACTATTATTATCCTTATTTTGCAGAAAAGAAAACTGAGTCAACAGAGACTAGGTAACTGGCCCAAAGTAACACCGGTAACCTGACCTCACAGTTGGTGTTCTTATCCACCCTATTATGCAACCTCTCTTCGATAATTATGAACTTCAGTACCTGAGACTTATTTAATGGTAGTTTCTCGATACAAATTTGTTGAATCAGTGAATTTACTTCTGCCCATTTCTCTCCCAAGACTGTTCTTTCAGGGTTTTGTATAAAAAACTGCATGAGAGACAGCACTCTGTTTCTTTAGAGAGTACAAGTTGAGAGATAGTAAAGTGTTGAGCCCTGACACTCCTTAGCTGAAACTCAGCACATTGATTGCTTCTCAGTGTCAGTGTAACACAGAACCTTCAGACAAGAGAAGAATATTTCATTCTTACTGGTATAATTTCAAGCAGCACAGTTTCTGATAGACTGAATTTAAAAATAAACAAATAAATAAGGAGTGATGGATGGATAGAGGGATGAACAGAGGAATAAACTATAATAAAGACAGTTCAGTAAAATAATAAGTATACAGTCTAGATGGTAGACTAAAAAGAAACATAAACATTTGTGTTAATCTCTGTTTTTTTCCTTCAAGAATTAGGGTGAATGAAGATACTCAAAACACCAGCACTAAGAATTTCCAGAAAAAAGTGAAACAAGTCAAGCAGCACTGCCTATAGAATCAAAGAAATTATGTTATTTGGTAACAGATTCTAGATTAGGATGCCCGAGGTACTTAAAAAGATGAGTTAGTCTGTTTTTCTCTCTATTCCTGCTTTTATTTGGCTCTGTCATAAAACATCCGTCTCCCTCATGTACCCATCTAAATGCAAGCAGATGTTAGCAAACTGCCATTGTAGTGTTCTGTTTTAGTGCACAACTCATCTTTCTCTTGTCACACATTACAAGATTTTTTATTTTTTCTCCCAGTTCTGCTGATATTTCTATTATGATACAAAAGGCATTATGACAGGTGAAGATAAAAAAAATACTTATATACACACACAGCAACAACTTTTCAAAACATCCAAAAAGGTAAACACAGAGAAACTCAAAACTAGAGGAAGTAGGCCTGGAATTTTTCTTCAATGTGTATTATTCAATATAGTTTCAGTTTTCATTCTAACCTTCCCCAGTGGTTTCTGCCCAGCAACTGTTGAGAAACATCACCTCAGAGCCAATCAAAAAGCTAAATCTTCCAAAGAGAAACTAACTCTTCTGCTTCTCATGGTGAGCTGACAGGCTCCTCCTTTTTTCCTTCTTTCAGATCGGAGGCTCAACGGTAATAGAAATGATGGAGAAGTATTGACTGCTTTTATTCTGTGGTCTGTGAATTCAGACAGGAATACTAAGAGGTAAGGGTGGTGGGAATTGGTGAGTGTCAGAGCTCCAATGCCTGGGAGGAGAGGGCCTGAAAAGCACGCCAGGGAAAGCTCACACTGAGAAAGGGGCCAAGTGCTTGGGTGTGTGTGTGTGTGTGTGTGTGTGTGTGTGTGTACCTGAAGGAGGAAATATTCCAATTGCATGTTCTTAAGAAAGAATAAAAAAACCCTTGTAATCTGCTCTGAGATTCTAAAGAGAAATTAGCTTTAAAGATGTATAGTTTATTACAGAACTGTTTATAATGTAGAACAATCTGAGCCAACATACTTATACAAGAGGCAGGAAATTGATAAGCAATGCATGGTTAAATCTTAAAAGGGATTTCCATACAGCCGTTAGGAAGCATATTTTTAATAAAGTGTGATTATTTATAATTTTAATAACATTACGTCTTGTTTTGTATATTTTAAGAATAGTGTTTTTCTTCCCATTCATCATTTCCCCAAAACCTAGAGTAGGCTTTCCAATAGCTAAGATCTATTACATTATTTAAATATTTAATTTATTTAATCCTTTCTTTATTTTGAGTATTTTAGTAGTATCTACATTGTGCTATTGCAGATTTTACTGTGTTAAACAGCCTTCAACATAAACATTTGTGTTAATCTCTGTTTTTTTTCCTTCAACATTAATTCCTATAAGTGGAACTTTAGGGTCAAAGCTTACATTTTTAAGGCTTCCAGAAATATTTACATTTCCACTAGCAAAGTATATGATTACCACTACAAATTTTTAAAACTTTTATTCCATTATATATTTTTCATTTACAAAATTGTTTATAATCAAGTAAAAAGAAAAATAAATATCATAAAAAATAAATAAAAACTTCTCACTTTGAGGACAGAGGAGAAATTGTTAGCTCAAGGATTAATCATAATAAAAATGGTCCCACTTTATCAACATGAAGAGAAGTTTTGAGGAGCAGTAGATGTGCTGAAAGGTAATGTTTAGCCTGAGGGTGGGTGCAGGTTCCAGGCAGGGGTGGAGGATAGTCAGTTGCACCAACCTCCATTCCCTTGTTTCCTCCTCACCCCTCCACACTCCCATCTACAGACTTGTTCTCAGAGGTAGTTCCCAGACCCAGGTTTCCATGGCAGCAGGTGCTATGATTGTGGCCTTTATGCTCCTTTGTGATGGGGAAAGCTGTTTTAGAGTTAGTATTTACTGAGCCCCTAATATGTTCTAGTCTCTATAATTACTTGTACTTATTAATTGTGAAGTAAAACATGCAGCATTTTTAATTTAAAACATTCAAATAATTTTAAAAGTAAAAAGAGCAAAAGTCCAAAATGTCCTTTCACTCTCTTAACCTCCAATCTTCAGCACAGTATGCAAGATTTTAGGTATTTCTCAGGCATTTACACATATAAGTATGTACAAATCTACTGCTTTGCTTTAATTTTTTTTTTTTAAATAGAATCCTTAGTATACTTCTGCAATGTGCTTTCTGGTCACTCAGTATATCTGGATTATTCAAGCTGGCGACAATAAAACACTCTTTGTAACTGCTGCATTGAATTCCCTCAATGATGAGCCATCATTCCTCTGACTAGTTTCCTGTGAGTGGCTAGTTGGGTTGGTTACAACTTTCATACTTTAAAAGATAATAATGAGTGTCATCCTCATACATGCTTCTCTCTGCACCCATGCAAGTATTTTGCTGGACTACATATCAGGAAGTAGAATTGCTAGGCCATTTGTACACATTCTAAATTTCATATTTCATAATATCTTATGAGTGACCAAAGTTCAAATATGTTTTGTCACATGACCGAGATTACAGAGTTTGGGAATCATAGAAGTTTAACCTATTTTCTGCCTTCTTTTTATCCCTAACTCCTAACATAGTGGGCCTGGCCAATTGTGGGTGCTCAGGAAATATTTATTGAATGACTCAATTAAGGAAAGAAAGAAAATGGGAAAGATCTGATCTTATTCCCAGCTCTCCTGTTCACTAGCCTTGTGATTAAGCAGTAGTAGATTCAGCCCCTCACTGACTCCAGAGCCTTCACCAGGCATTCTGCCTGGATCTTGCCCAGAGCTACTAGGCCATGAGTTGACCAAGGCAATGGTTGAGAGTTGGGGCTTAGAGGAGTCTACAATATTACACATCCACAGTGGTGGACACAAGTAAAACCAGGAAACCCGGTGAGAAGTGTCCAGCCTTAGTTGGAGGAGAATGACTGAGGTTCAGACTTGGCTGTACCAGAAAAAGTGTGGGAACACTAAATTATTTCCAAGCAGGAGTTAATGATTTCCTGATGGGATAGCACAGACATTTTTGGCAGAGTGAAGATCTTCATGAGTCACCACACTGGAGTTAGCCCTGGGGAAGTGGATGTTTCAATGTGGAATTTTGTCTTTTTTCAGGCCACAGTGTCTGCCCTGCCCGTTCTGGCATCTCTTGATAGGCATCAAAATGAAAATGGCATGTTTCTTGACCTTCTTTCTGCACACCTTCCTTGTCTACCATGTTTTGGTCCATCCGCTCACTCCTTGCTCAGGTAAGAAATGATTCTTCTTTTGTGTGTCTGAAGCAGACAATTACCTATCAAAGCCCACTTAGAACTTTTCACTCCTTCTCATACCTGGAAGTCCCAACCCAAACTGAGGGTTCACATTTCATTAAGAGACAAACGGTGCTTCTGTTAGGCATGTTCCTCTCTAGATTCTCCACACCTCACCTTCCCTGCCTGGGAAGTACCCTTCCTCTCATGGCCCCACCACCAACACTGTCTGACGGAGCTTCCCTCCTTGTGCCGATCAGCTCAGTTTGCCGTGCATGGACCCCCTGGGCCCATCCTGGCCATGGTAGGTGAAGATGCTGATCTGCCCTGTCACCTATCCCCATCGATGAATGCAGAGACCATGGAGCTAAGGTGGGTAAGATCCAGCCTTAGGCAGGTAGTGAACATGTATGCGGATGGAAAGGAAGTGGAAGACAAACAGAGTGCTGAGTATCAAGGGAGAACTTCGATTCTTCGAAATAACATCACTGCAGGGAAGGCTGCTCTCCGAATATACAACGTCAGAGCCTCTGACAGTGGAAACTACCTGTGTTATTTCCAAGATGACAACTTCTATGAGAAAGCCCTGGTGGAGCTGAAGGTTGCAGGTGAGCCTCTGGGTTTTGTTTCTGAGCTCATTCCTCTGTGGGACCTGGGACAGACAAGAGTTCCTGCTCCAAAGACCCTGCAGAACACTTTTGGCTTGTCACTATGGCCACTAGGAATGCCTGCCATGTTTTGCAATGTCCTTGAGAAAAAGATAAGTTTTTCTTCAGGAAGAATCCCTCCTGTACCCTACTTGCTCAAGTAAAGAATTATTTCCACTGGCTTCCAGTGGTATATGAAGAGAAGTAAAACCCAAGGGATGGGAAGAATAAGAAAACATCTCTCCAGTGACTGGCATATAGTCACTAGTCCTTTTGGTCTAGTAGGTTACCAGCTTTTGTGGCTACACCAGGTGGATACTAACATGAACCCTGGGAGTTTGAGGTGAGGGACTATATGTCCTGCCAATGTACTCCAGCAGTGACCATCCCCAAAACACAGCTATGTTTATTACTTGTTGCAGTGAGGAAGAACACATACCATGGGAACTGTAGTATGTCTCAATAAGATGTTGGAGAAGACTTAGTACAAAATTTGGGCTTGTGTTAGGAGATTTGGAGGAAGGTTTCCAGAAGTGAACTCTGCTCTTCATTAGATGCTGTCTGGAAGGTAGGAGAGGTCAATTTTGTGAGTGATAGTCTTAATAAATCTTCTACGGGGTCTGGGTATGGCAGCTCATGCCTGTAATCCCAGCACTTTGGGAGGTCGAGGCAGGAGGATTGCTTGGGACCAAAAATTCAAAATCAGCTTTGGCAATATAGCAAGACCTCATCTCTACACAAAAAGAAAAAGAAAAAAAGAAATACAATAAATTAGCCAGACATAATCTTGTGTGCCTGTAATCTTAGCTACTTGGGAGGCTAAGGCAGGAGGATCACTTGATCCCAGGAGTTTGAGGCTGTGGTGAGTCATAGTCATGCCACTGCACCCAGCATGGGTAACATAATGAGACCCTAACTCAAGAAACAAAAAGTAAAAATAAAATCTTCTATGAGAGGAAAGAGACTAGGGTGAGACTAAAGGTAAAGGCAGCAGTCCCTCATTGCAGATGGGTATGTTTAGTCATTGCTATGGTTTAGAAAATGTATATGTATTTTTTATGTTCAGATATGATTATGGTATGGTCTTGTTTTTTCCATTATTCACCATTTCATTTCCATTATCTAACAAAATGCCATTGTCTGATGTTGGTGTTTTGTGAAATTGCTTATGCTTTACAGAAGGACATCAAGACCTGATATCAACTTTCAGATGCTGGAGGCTGCTTTTCTCTTTCTCAGGGCAATTTTTTGCCCTGTGGCTTTTTGTTGGGTTTGGTTGATGGGAAGCTATAGCAGAGAATGGAGATAGGAAAAAAAGAGAGAGGAATCTGAGAAATTATCCCTGACTGTTCCCTAAAGGGTCCCCTTATTTGCTGCAAGAAAGCCCTCAATACATGACTCTCTTCTTTTAGGTCTTCAAAAGAGCTTTCTCCTCTCCTCCCTTTAGGTTTAGGGATGAGTGAAAATATCCCCATAGTTACTGTCCTGGGGGCTCATCACTAGCCCTTGTGGTTTTCCCATCACCACGACCACACTTTTGTAAACAGCTCTTGAATAAAATCCTCCTTGAATTACCTAATGTGATTTTCCATGGTTTCCTGTTGAGGCCTTCCCTGATACAGTAGGCTTCCAATAATTTAGGTTGATTTATCCTTCCACAGCACTGGGTTCTGATCTTCATGTTGAAGTGAGGAGTTATGAAGATGGAGGAATCCATCTGGAGTGCAGGTCCACAGGCTGGTACCCTCAGCCCCAAATACAGTGGAAAGATGCCAAAGGAGAGAACACCCCAGCTACGGCAGCACCTGTGGTTGCAGACAGAGTGGGCCTGTATGCAGTAGCAGCGTCTGTGATAATGAGAGGCAGCTCAGGAGAGGGGTTATCCTGTATCATCAGAAATTCTCTCCTTGGCCAGGAAAAGACAGCCAGGATTTCCATCACAGGTCAGTACCCTGCTTAGCCCTAGGTATACCAAGCTAAGCTGTGACTGTCGAAAGAAAGGAGTTGTGTGAGTCTCTGCTGTTGACATGATCTCTGCAGTGAATATAAGGCCAGAGCAGGGACCTGGATCCTCTTCCTTGCTTCTGGGAAGCTTCTCTATCCCTTAAAACTCTTTATGCCACATTTACTGAACCTTTCCCATCTGCCAGATGCTGTGACAGGCAATGGAAACTGGTGGGAAATGGTTAAGATAAGATCCTTAGGCGAAGTCAAATGACAAAATGGAAAAAAAATGTGTATATATAGATGTGTTTTATATATATATATATAAAACACATCTCATATCTTAAAGAAAGCTCTAATCTCCTTAAAATGTAAGAAAATTTAAAACATCCTAGTAAAAAAAATTAACCAGGAGTATAGATTATTAATTTACCACATAGGGACTAGGCATGATGGCTCATGCTTGTAATTCCAACTCTTTTGGAAGCCAAGGCTGGAGGATCATGGAAGCCAGGAGTTCAAGGCTGCAGTGAGCTATGATTGCCTCACTGCACTCCAGCCTGGATGGCAGAGCAGATCCTGTCTGGAAGGAAGGAAGGAAGGAAGAGAGAGAGAGAGAGAAGAAAGAAAGAAAGAAAGAAAGAAAGAAAGAAAGAAAGAAAGAAAGAGAGAGAGAGAGAGAGAGAGAGAGAAGAAAGAAAGAAAGAAAGAAAGAAAGAAAGAAAGAAAGAAAGAAAGAAAGAAAGAAAGAAAGAAAGAAAGAAAGAAAGAAAATGAAATAACCCACAGAAGGGTGTTCATTCTCACTCTTTAGAGAAAGATGTATTAAAACATTCTTTACTTCTGATATTTGCAAAAAACAAAACTCAATTGGTTGTTAACACATTCTGATGGAGAAATGCAGGGAAGCAGTAACTCTCAGGCATTTGCTAGTGTAATTTGTAATATATTTTGTGTGTATGTTAGCACAATCTCAATTGGGGGCTATACAGCAATATCTATCTAAACTACATATTTATTGATCCAAAATTCCACCATGGGAATTTATTTGATAGATAAGCTTGCATTTGTGTGAGACTACTTATGTAAAAGATTATTTCTTATAGCATTGATTATAAATTTGCAAGTTTAGAAACCACGCAAATGTAGACTGCTGGGGAATTTCCATACAAAGGAATGCCAACAACTATGCAAAAGAAAAATAGAGATAACTCTTTCCATTCTAATATGGAAAGATCTACCAGTTACACAGAAAGAGCAAGACACTTTTTTAGTTTGTTTTTGTTTGTTTGTTGAGTTGATGTCTCACTCTGTCACCTAGGCTGGAGTGCAGAGGCATAGTCACAGTTCATCACAGCCACCACCTCCTGGGCTCAAGTGATCCTTCTTCCTCATCCTCCCAAGTAGTTGGAATTACAGGTGTATGCCGCCAGGCCTCACTCATTTTTTTTGTATTTATGGTAGAGACAAGGTCGCACTATATTGCCGAGGCTGGTCTCGAACACCTGGGCTCAAGCAATCCTCCTGTCACATCCTCCCAAAGTTCTGGGATTATAAGCGTGAGCCACCGTGCCAGGCCGCTTTTTAAAATTTTTTTGTTTTGTTTTATTTTAAAGATGTGGGGCATAATTCAGGATTAGGTATACAAATGGTCATCGTACAGGTAAAGTTTAGGTCTCATTTTGGTCCCCACTTCACCTGGTTTGAGATCAGATATCCTTATTAATGAAGTGTGCCCCCCCCGACCCCTGGTGGTTTCCCACTACTACAAATCCCTTTCTTATAGTGTTATGATAATTGTTCAGGGTCCACTTATGAGTGAGAATATGTGGTACTCAGAGCTCTGTTTCTATGATAGGTCACTGAGTATTATAGACTCTAAGTCCATTCAAGTTGCTGCAAAGTTCATAATTTTGTCCTTTATGGCTGCATAATATTCCATCATGTATATGTACCACATTTTTTTATCCAGTCCACTTTCAATGGGCAGCACAGTTGGTTCCATGTTTTTGCTATTGTGAAAAAATGCTGCAATAAACATGCTTTTTAAAATTTAACAAGCAGTTGCATAATACTCTAGATCAGGCACTTTATAAGCATTAATTTAACACTTTTAATCTCAATAGGACCAGAAAGGTTAAGTAATTAGTCCAGGATCACATTGCTAGTCATGTAGAGGAGTCATACCCTCTGACTCCAAAGTTTTCTTAACCATCACATTTAGCTGACTAAAGAGAAGCTAATAAATGAAGGGAGGCAGGAAGAACTGGATGGATGGGAGGCTTGAATGACTTGTTATGTAAGTATTTTTATATTTGAACTATTTAAATGTACTACCTATTGAAAAATAAGTAGAAAATATATGTATGACTCTGCTCCAGACACTCACTTTCAATGTGAGAGGCAGACACAAGTTATAGTAGCAAGCTGTAGTAAGGGTTTACCAAAAACTTACTTAGAATTTACAAAGAGTTTAGGAAAAGAAGGTTTATTTAACCCCATGAGATAAATTCTGTGCCTCCCACTCTGGAGGAACAGCTAAAGCTCAGGTGCTGCAGGATGGGTAGGAAGATCGCCAGCCACCGCTACCCACAACCTATCCCTTTGCAGAGCCCTTCTTCATGAACTCTGAACCCTGGATCAAGGCCCTGGCAGGGACCCTGCCTGTCTTGCTGCTGCTTCTCGCAGGAGCCAGTTACTTTTTGTGGCGACAGCAGAAGGAAAATAACGCTCTAACCAAGGAGACAGAAAGAGAGCAAATGCTGAAAGAAAAAGAATATGCCGCAACGGAGCAGGAAAAAAGCACAAGAGGTATCTGACCCCAAAAAGGAATCTAAGCCCTTGGGTTACAGAGCCAACCCAAATACCTCACACTAAACCTCACCTGGCTACTGTGTCATTTTTAAAGTTTATTTTGTAGAAACTCTCTTCTCCCATAACAGTTCATTATTTTTTCTGCTTATTTTCCAGAGAAGCTCCAGGAGGAACTCAGTAAGTCCCCACTCCCCTAGAGACTAGCATGTCTTCCTAGTCCTGCTTTAAATGCCTTGATGACTCTTTCCTGTTCATTCCATTGCAGAGTGGAGAAGAATCCAGTACATGGCTCGTAAGTAGCTCTGACATGGTCTCTGAATTTGAATCTATGAGTCTCTCTGCTTGGATATTTTCCAATGCTGAACTTTTGAGCAGGATTGGGAATTGATTCTGGATTCATTTTTCCAGGGGAAAACAAACAAACAAACACTTTAGCTCTGTAAGGCACTGGCTTGAAAGGAAAGAGGAAAGAGGGGATGAGGTGCCTTCTGTGTGGCAGGAACCTCATTAGTTGCTATACATAATCTATGGACTCTTGAGAAGAAAAGAAGGATAGGAGATAATAAAGAACAAGGAAATCAGAAAAGAGGGAAGGGAGAAGTGTGTCTCATAAGCAGGAGTAGCTTCAGTGGCTCAGTTGGTACAGATGCATCTTAACTGCTGTCAAAAATTAGTCCCTGAAATTTCTCATTGAGTTTCCCAAATTATTTTCAGAAGAAGGTAAGAAATTATACAGATTGAGATAGATGGGTCTTATACATACATACATATACATGTAGACATGGTGACACCTATGCCCAGGACAGAAGAATATATATATACATAATGGGTCAGCTGGACTCCATCAGGAAGGTATTCACACAGTGCCTGCCATGTCACTAGCATTCTATTGATGTTCCCAAACTTGATATTAAGGAAGAGAGAATTGAACCTGCAGAGGAAAATGGTAGGAAAGAAAGGGTAGAGTGGTAAAAAGAAAGAAAAGGTGGGGGGGAAAAGAAGGGAAAGGGGACAACTAAGACATGGCAGAGTTCAGGTGACATCTCTACCTTTCTTTCATTGTAGGTGGGGAGAAGTCTCAGACCTATGCTGGTGAGTGACCCTGATGTTCTCTAAGTATCTGGGGGCATGTGCCCTGAACATTGCAAACTTTTCTCTGCTGTGACCCATTAATATTCTCAATTGGAATAGTCAGATCTAACCCAAAGGCTTAATTTCTGTGGGGATTCACTTGTGCTTTTCTGGAGCCTTTGAGAGAGCCCTGACACTACTGGCACCCATGCACCCCTCATGTCAGAGGGAATGGAGCCCACCATATTTTAGAAGTTGCCATTCCTGGTCCATCAGAGTTGTAGAGGAAGAGAGCTAGACACTGGAAGAGACTCTGAGGAGAAGGAGAGAAAAGACTTAGGAGAATGAGGTGGGGACGAACAAAAACATGAACTTGTTTCTTAATTGTATCTCTCTCCTTTCAGAATGGAAAGTGGCCCTCTTCCAAGCTGGTGAGTCAACAACCTGAGGGACCATAATCCCCGTTTCTTCTCCAGTGCTTAAGATTTTGAAAAGAAAATTCCCATAAGTGAGTTTTAGATGGGCAACATTAAATTCCAACTTGAAAAGTGTGCCTAATTCCAGGTTCCTTTCTGCTGAGAGCCCAGGGAACCAGACAGAATTGTTCTCTTGGGCTCCCACAGAACTTTATGGGAAGGAAGAGGCATAGAATGTGGAGTTGAGTTGAGGGAGATGTCCACTGAATTATACCGGAGGGATAGTAAGGATGAGAAATGCCGAAGAAAGAAGGCAATGCCTGCCCAAAGAACTTTGCCCTTCCTAGTCTTCATATGCCACCTGCTGCCTCTGTGTTTCCTCAGAGGATTTACTTTTTCTGAGTTCTGGCCTTTGGCCTCTACATTTTTAAATGATGATTATAATTTATATTTTGGTGGGCTGAAGTGAAGACTGATGGAGGCGATGGATATTCATTGGTCAGAATCCTAGCAAGAAAGAGTGACTGGTTCAAAACAGGTGTTTGAAGGGCATTTGGAGAGAATCGGGTTAAGGGAAAGCAACAAGGGAATGTTCAGTGCCCCAGGGACACAACAGTGGGGAGCTGTCTCCACCTCTTGGCTTGAAGGGATAAAGAGAAGAGCAGTTACGAGAACCCAAAAGAGGCTGTAGTCAAAGAGACTCTGAGAAGAGTCAGGTTTTTGCAGAGCAACACCAGCGAATACTGGCAGGGAGGAAGAAGGGATATTCAATGTTGTGCTTCTGTTTTGACCTTCCCACTGGCCAAACCCAACAGCAAACCAGAGGACAAGAGAGCCCAGTGACACTGTCCACAGAGGACAGATTCCTGGGACCCAGAAAGGGTGGAGAAAGATGAAGTGTAGAGACTGGATCTGGGGGCATATAAAGTCCCCAATGTAGACCCTAGCACAGAGGAAGCCCTGGCAGCTTTTATAACATCACATGCTTCCCCCAAGCCTTTCCCTAAGCTGAGTAAATTACATTATTGTCTAATTCACCCCAAGATATTTGTATTTTTATTCACATTTTTCACATAAAGAAATGCTTCAGATAAGGCTCCGTAATGTTGCATGACTTAGATGCGTAGAATTATAGACTACAGAAAAGAAAAACCCACTCAGCTCATGAGTGGTAGAGTAAAGATTGAAGATTAAATTTATGACGATAAAATGTAAGTGGGCAGAACCAATCTAGGGAAGGAAACAAGAAAAACATAGAAAAAAGGCCCTGTTGCTTCCTGAGGCAGCATCATGGTATCTGATAGGCAGACCCTGACTCTATCCTCATTTTACCTTTCTATTCTCCACTGGACGCAAGATCCCTGGTGCTTTGTGTCATGATATTAAAGAAAGAGTCACATTCAGGGCGGGCTAAGTATGCCAGGCTGTGGATACAGGACTCTTTGGCAAGGCCCAGGCCTTTTATGCTGAGGCTCTGAGATCCAGAATATAGGGCTGACCTCACAGACACATCCTCAAACTTTCTACAGCGGACGTACTTCTGGATCCAGAAACAGCAAACCCCATCCTTATTGTTTCCGAGGATCAGAGGAGTGTGCAGCGTGCAGAGGAACCACAGAATCTGCCAGACATCCCTGAGAGATTTGATTGGCGTTACTGTGTGCTCGGCTGTGAGAACTTCACTTCAGGGCGACATTACTGGGAGGTAGAGGTGGGAGACAGGAAAGAGTGGCATATCGGAGTATGTTGGAGAAATGTGGAAAGAAAAGGTTGGGTCAAAATGACTCCAGAGAATGGATACTGGACTATGGGGCTGTCTGATGGCTATAACTATCGGGCTCTCACTGAACCTAGGACCAAACTGACTCTTGACAAGGCCCCTACAAGAGTGGGGGTCTTCCTGGACTATGAGACTGGAGAGGTCTCATTTTACAATGCCATGGATGGATCTCATATCTACACCTTCCTGCATACCTCCTTCTCTGAGCCTCTGTGTCCTGTTTTCAGAATTTTAACTTTGGAGCCCACTGCCCTGACCATTTGCCCAGCAGCCAAAGAAGTGTGGCATTCTCTTGTTCCTGACCTAGTGCCTGATTCTTCTCAGGAGACCCCAGTGACCCTGGGCTTATCTGAGCAAAGTGGGGAGCCTCAGGCTGAGGTACAGTCTCTGCTTCTCCCTCTCCAGTCTGGAGCTGAGGGCCTCCCACTCCAGAGCAACAAATCACAACCATAAAGCTACATGCACACAATGAAGCACTTTACTGATATTAATTAAATTATTCCATATGACAGTCCTTAGAGTTTGGTACCACTTTATTGTCTCCTTTATACAGATAAGGAAACTGAAGTGCAGGAAAGTGAACTAACCTTCTAAAGCTGATGTGAAAATGGTGAGATCTAAACAACTAACAAGAGAATTTAAAATGCATTAGATGCTGTACTAAGTGCTTTAGGTGGATTTCCCTTACTTAATCCTTGTGACCCCCTGTGAAAGAGTGTCCTTTCGCTGCTGTGGACGATGAGGCAGGGCACTGTTAAGTAACATTGTTACTCATATAGTAAGTTGAATAAACCTGTTCTATCCTGATTTTCCCCCATAAGAAGTGACTATGTACGGCCCTGAGGTTCCCTTCCCAGCTCAGCTTTGGGATAGGCATCATTGTAGGTGGTTGTGGAGGTGATACCCTCTTGACTCTTTCTCAGCTGATTATGAGAGCTTTAGACCCAACACTGCTTTGGATCAACTCTGCGGGCTGCAGAGAATGCAATTCTCTGTCTTGGTCCAGAGAATAAACTTAGTGTAACCACATCACACAGGACTGAGGAAGGGACTAGAGTCTATACTCTTAATAAATGATGTTCCCACCCTATAAATGTGATAAGTGATCATGGAACCAGATCCCATCTTCCCACATTCAAGGTTTCCAGGGAGCATCACTAATACCCTAAAAATTGTCTGTGAAATAAGAAATTTGGGCAAAGGAAGCTAAAAGAACTACAGGAATATGTTTAATCACACTATGGAATCTATTTCCAGGAAAGCTATATCCACCCTGATCATGGATGGATGTTGAACCAATATTCCTTTCAACTGACAGATACTAGAGGAAAACTCCTCTTCATCATTATCACTGCTATTGTTCATCATCATATTCCCTCTGCCTAGCATGTGGTTGTCAAGTTCTATTTGTTCAATGAATTTGTCCATAAGCATTACTCTTCAACTTGGCTTTTTCTAGACTCTGATAAGTCTTCTCAGCACAATAGAGTAGACTACACACCTGCTGTACTCACCACTGTTCCACAGTTTACCTCATGGCACTATTTGCACAAAACTCTTATTGTATGAGTTTTCTATTGCTGCCATTATGAATTACCATAAGCTCAGAGACCTACAACAACACAAATGTATTATCGCAGAGTTCTGTAGGTCACATGTCCAACATGGATCTCACTGAACTAAAATGAAGGTGTCTGCAGGCTGCGTTCCTTTCTGGAGAGCTAGGGAAGATTCTGTTTCCTTGCTTATTCAGACTGTTGGCAGCATTCAGTTCCTTGCAATTATAGAACCAAAGTTCTAGTTTCCTCCTAGTTATTAACTGAAGGCTATGATCACCACTAGAGGCTGCCCCACCCCGACTCCTAGCTCCTGTCCTCCATCTTCAAAGCAGCAACAGCAGGTTGAAGTACTCTCAATCTTTCATTTCTCCTGGTTCTTCTTCCATTGTGTCTCTTCTGCCTTCTATTTTAAGGACTCTTGTGATCAGATTGGGTCCAACAAGACAACTTAGTATAATTTCTTTATGCTAAGGTTAATAAACTTAAATTTTATGTGTAAGATTTATTTTGCCATGTTTTATATCACATGCATTGGATTCACTGGAGACATTGCTGGGAGGGCTTGTGGGAGCACTATTCAGCCTACCACACTTATTTGAGAAGTGCTCTCAGAAAACACAACTGTAGAAATAAAGTGAGACAGAGAAAGGAGAAAGCCAATTAAGTAGGAAATGGCATAAAAGTTTCATCCGGAAGATGTGGAAATACATCTTCCACTCATGGTGTAACAGGAAAAATAGAGAGATCGTGACACCAAGACTATTATAGGAAGTGGCACTTTTTTATGCTGGCTAGCACAGCGGACCCGAGAATTTCATGCGTCCAAATTGAGTGCCCCAGAACAGGAGACATGGGGTCTTATACCCTTGTTTAGGTAAGGGAGGGGGGTCGTGTTGAGTGATTACATATTTCCTTTGGAATCTTACAAGGTTGTACTCAACAAAATCAGATTTTTCAAAGAACAAATGGTTTCTAGGAACTGCAGACTAGAAAACCCTCAACTTCAGAAGGGGAGTTTTTTGGATAAGTCTGTGAATTAGCCACGCTTTTTGCATATCCATTAAATGGCTAGTCTTTGGGCCATTTGGTCTTTCCCAAACAAAACCTGCCTGGCTTGGCTGGGTCTTTAAAGTTTCAGCTTGCCTTTCAAAAGGAAATACCTTTAACCACTATCAACTCCTTTCCTGCCCTGGGCTAGTGGGAGTTATTCCAGGTGATTGCCATGAGGCCATCTGCTAATCCTGAACCAGCTACGTGTTTCTATGTTTATTCACTTAATCATACAAGAAATATATTTGAGCATTTGCCGCATCCTGCCACAATGGTGTGGAGTAAAGGAAGATCAAAGCAGATGTTCAGAGAGGAGGTTTCAAGATGGAAAGATTTTGGAATATTTTCTCATCTTTAGTTCCTTTAGAGGTCTACTATTATTTCTTCTATGTATTCTGTGAAATTTGTTCTCTTGAGACAAGGTAAATGTTTTGATTAATATTGCAACAGTCCTAAAATTTAGAAATTTTCACAACCATTATACAATGTTTATCGATTCTGTGAGGCAAGAATCTAGAATTTAAATAGGTTAGATTAGGTTTGGTTTTCCTGTGCAGCAAGATGGCTGGACTTCACCTGGCAGGACTCCATGGCTAGAGGTGACTCAAAAAAAGAGACACACAAAAATTTCCTTCAAAGATTGGAGTTTATTTGCACAGCAAAGGGAGGATCAGTGTTCGCTCTGGGTCCTAGTTCTTCCAGGACTGGCAGATACACCGAAGTCCATAGAGAATCATGCTAAAATGACCATCTTCTTTGTTTATTCCAGCCAGTGAATATGAGTCAGTGACACTATCTAACATGACACTCCCCGGTAGAACCAGTTTTCCTACTAAGCTGCGTCATAGGCAATCAACCATCCTCCTGTTTAGAACACATGTATTTCCCTCTGGCTACAGTCAGTTTGGCAAGGGTCAAGGCCTGGCTTAGCCAAATGCTTCTGGCACAAGCTGCTTCAGAAGCCCTGGGCCTCATTTCTTCACATAAAAAATCTGAAGCCAGATCTCAGCCTGGCTGGCAAGGATCTTGGACTCCCCAGTACTAGGTGGAATGTTCCTGTACTTACTATCTTTTTACCCTCATTAGCCACTCAACTCACTTTAAATTTATATTCCAGAAGCATCAGGTGATGAGTGAGGTTGCTGTAAGTAAAAGAGATAGTTCAAGGGTCAGTAAAATTTAAAAAGCAGTTCTGAGGACTTTCTTTAACTATTCTCATGAAAGATCTCTCTGTAGAGCAGAGAAGAAGCCTACTTTGGAAAAGGATTCTGTTTTTGATCCTCTTTCTCAGTCCTAGATTTCTCCACTGTGGGTGGCTTGTTCCTTTTGCCATCTCTCTCTTGGTATCTGGTGCCAGGTGATTCCAGAACTGGGTCATGCTGTTTTGGGAATAACCTTATGCTGAGCACTTTCACGCAAGAATTGAACAACTTAGTGTTGAGCTTAGGGCTGGGCCTCATAAGGAGAGAGAATCACATCTTATAGATATCTGTCCTAAGCGTGGCAGGATGCAGCAAATGCTCAAATATATTTCTTGTATAATTGAGTGAATAAGCACATGTAGCTGCTTCGGGATCAGCAGTTGGCCTCATGGCAATCACTGGGGATGACTCCCACTAGCCCAGGCAGAAAGGGAGTGGTAGCAGTTAGAGGTATTTCCTTTTGAAAGGCAAGTTGCAACTTTAAAGACCTGCCAGGTGCCGGGCAGGTTTTGTTTAAGAAAGGCCAAATGGCCCAGAGACTGGTTATTTCATGGAAATGGAAAAGAGTCTTATCTAAAACCCCCCTTTCTGAAGTTGACGGTTTACAAGCATGCAGTTCCTCAAAAGCATTTGTTCTTTAAAAAATCTGATTTTTCATGAATTTCGCTGCAACCTGGATGGAACTAGAGTCTATAATACTGAGTGACCTCTCATAGAAACAAAGATCCGAATATCACATGTTCTCACTCATATAATGGACCTTGAACATCCAATGCAATACTATAAGAAAATGACTGACGGTACTGGGAAACTATGGGGGGGAGGGGGATGGAATTAACAGTAGCAAATATCTGTCGGGGGATGGGAAAACACCTCTTATCAACAGGGTGCCTGAATGAAACGTAATTGTACACCTAACCCTTAACTGTAC